TCCATGACTTGGGTTCATCATCTGTAAATTGAGCCTAACTATACCTGTTTCAAAGGTTCTCATGAGGATGCAACGATTTAACACACATACAAGGTAGAATCGCTCCAGTCATAGTAAGTAGCCTCTGATCACGAGCTGGCATTTTTCTTTATTACAGCGACAACCCAGTTACTAAGAGGAAATAGAATTTCCAATTCTCTCGCTGGTCCAATCCCAGGACCCAGATATCTTTTTACCCTCTTTTTCCTCCACCATTCTAGATATATCCATTCTGATACTTCACTCTCATTGACCCGCTCGGTGAATTATCTTAGAACTAAGCCTGCCTGCATCATTCAACATATATTTGATTAAGAATTTAATCCATCTTGAGTGCATTTGTTCAGATAAATGCTAAACTTTTGAAACAGCAAAGCCTAGCATGGTAGTGCTTCAAAGATGATAGATGGTTTACAAATTAGAATGGCCACAAGCCACTGTTTTGCACGGATGAGTAGAATCTGTTCTCACACTATTTTGCCAAGAAGGTAGTCTGTGCCTTCTCTGATTAAGGGAGTCCTGAGTCAGCAACTTTTTCATGCACAAGAAATTGGCCCCTTTATAGAGCTCTGAACCTCACATAATATTCAGGCCTAGTCTAGGCTCTAAGAAGTCTAGAGCCTGTGAACAGTTCTCATTGGTATCTTACACCTTATGACACCTTCCCTCTGCTGGCTCCCTTACCCCTTCATCTTAACAGTCAAGGTATTCTTCCCAAACGCCCACCACTCATATGGTCAAGATAAGACTGTTTTTACCCTGAGACAAGATTTGCTTGTGCTCTGCAACAATTTTATTTTTTGTGTGTTAGACTTGACAAGTTTGTGTGAAAAAGGTGAGAGGAACAGAATGTCAATAATTATGCTTGTTGATTGTTATTAGCTGTAAATGGAGCTGGCAAATGAACTCGTTATCCATAAGAAGTGGCAAGTGCTGACTGCACACAGTGTGATGTGCATACAGACAATGCAGACTTCACATCTGTGAAGTCTTTATTTTGCCATCTGTGCTTTCATTTTTCACTCAAAAATCTCTGACACGTGAACATTTGTGCTAGGAGTTGGCAGTGCTGTTGTATTCATTTCCTGGAGCACCTGGAGTCCAGAGTTTCTGCCCTAGTTTCTCAACAGCCAGCCCGCAGCTGCACAATGCAGATGTGAAGGTCACCCCCTCACAACGGACACATCCATTTGGGCACAGCGTGACTCATGTGACCCACTCAGGTCTGAGCGGTCTTTGGAGACACGCTGTCCAGAAACAGATAAAATGAAACAATACAGGATACTCTATTATTGTAGAAGAGGAAATATGTTTTCCCTTACACTTCATTCACACATTCATTCATTTAATGGGCATATTTAAAGGTTTATTTTTTATTTATGCACTCAAGAACTGGGGTGTAGGCCAGAGGTGTGGGGGGTGGTGGTGAGGGGATTCACCAGAGACAGAGTGGGGAACCAAAGAGGTGGATCTACTGAAATACACTGCTGAGGGGAGCAGTGGGCTAGACAGGAGAGGTCTGCTGTGCCATGTGGGTAAGCACCTTGGCCAGAGATCGAACTCAGGCCATAGAGGCCATAGTGTTGAGACTTACCCCTTACACCACCAGGGAGGCTCCCATTTAATCAGCAAATGTTAATTGCCTGCTTATTCTGTCTTTTTCAGTATATTCGACAGGATAAATGTTAAACAATTATAACCAAAGAGATTTAAAAAATGCAGTAACTTAAAAAAGAGCTTGGCTCTTCCCAATTACAGTGCAGCTGGCCAGGTGGGCAGGATAGAGAGCCCAGCTACTGTGGTCACGATGTGCCCACATTGCTCCTCCGTCCCTCCCATGGCCTATGTCCTTGGGGAGTGTGGCTTGTGTAAGTACATAAAGGATACCTTGCTCCCCTTTTCCACAAAAAGGGAACCTATTTGATAGTGTTTACACCCAATGTTGACAAATTATAAACACGTTGAACTTAAGAGATGTCATAAAAATATTTATATGAAATTTGTTCTTGCATACGTTGATTTTGAGAAAAGTTTACAAAAGCAAAGGAAAACATGTTTATGCTCCAAAAGCCAGCAGTTTAAACAAGCTGCATTGGCAAGAAAGGCTATGGACACAGCAGAGAGTATCCAAGCTCCTCACTGCTGGAATCCCAGGCCCCTAGTGAAAAGTTTTGCATTTTTTATGACTGTATGTCCAGCCGTCACTTTGGAGAATGGTGAACTGTGTTTTGCAGACTGAGGCATGTAGTTTGCAGGATATACACACAGGAGGAAGAACACCTGGGGGTCAGCACTAGAGGAAGCAGAGAAAGACAGATGGAGCCAATCAATGATTGTGCTTGCCTACGACCAGCTTTCTCCTCAATGCTCTGTCTCTGCTTGCCTCGTTGATGGAAATGAATGGAAACGTTGCATGTTGCCTTACTGTGATGTGTGTGTATGAGAGAGAGAGGGAGGAAGAGAGAGAGAGAGAAGGAAAGAGAGAAACAGTAGCTTGTCTACTCTGACATTCTAAAGTTCTGTGTTTTGTACTAGGAAGGAGCCGACTTTTCTATTTTTTTCTTGGAATAAAACAGCCCTCTTCTGTGTGGTCAGAGTTGAGTCAAGAGAAGGTCTAGCTTCCAGGAAGGGGAAAAGAAATAGTCCAAGGCAGCAATTTCCTTCAAACAAAAGAGGTGCTGTGGCACATCACCCTGCACTGATGAGGGTATGGCCATACCAAGCTGTAAGGGATGCTGGGAGATGTAATTTCTAGCTAGGAATCTTGTGCCAGAGCTGAAACCTTTTTATGAGAGAAAATGAGAAAAGACATTGGTGAGCAGTTTCTCAATATGTTGTAGTTTTTAGTGCTCCATCAAAATTCTTTCTTGTTTTTCTCCTACCATTTACAAGAGATATAGTTATGTTTTAAAGCTTCCACTAGGAAACTTATTTTTAAATTCTATTTATTTGTGCATACAAGAACTGGGGTGCAGGCTGAGGTGTGTGTGTGTGGGCAGGGAGAGGATTCACCAGAGGCAGAGTGTGGATCAGAACAGGTGCATCTACTGAGAAACACTGCTGAGGGGAGCAGCAGGCAAGACAGGAGAGGTCTGCTGCACCATGTGGGTCAGCTCCCTGGCCAGGGATTGAAGTCATGCCGCAGTGACTGGCGATAAATAGCTTGATAGTGCTGAGAATATAACCCCTGTGCCAGTAGGGAGGCCCTTCCACTAGGAAACTGTAAGAGACCATGAATACAAAGCGGATCTACGGGCTTCCTTTCCCTCTGCAGGGAAGTGTGTGCTCACTGTTCATAGAACAAGTCCAGTCCTGCCTACACCTTCTTCCTTCCATGGCGCACTGATTCATTGTTGCCAGGAATCAAACATCGTTACTAAGGGTTTCAAAAGTGCCAGCTGGCCCCAACCACTGTATATTATTTTCAGCACATGCTGAAAATAAGCACATCATTGAGTGATTTACACTAGGGAACCATCCGTTCCAGCACATGTAACCCTCAAGTTTTACCTGGCTTGGGATAACTCTGTGTTAAATCAGTTACATCATTCATTACATCTAATGACCATTGTGATATATTAGCACGTGCTGTGACCAGGACTTTCAGCTTGGGGCTCCACATACATTTTCTTTAATCTCTTAAACTGTTTCTAGGCAGTATCTGCGATTACCTCCCAAAATCCTGTTCCTTACTTTGGAGGGAATCCAACTATAATAGTCATCTTAGATTAATCATTATTTCTGCCCCAGGGCCAGGAGAGAGCCACGTAGCATTGCCCTGTAATAGGTCTGCTGCCTTATAGACTGTGCCACAGTATGAATTTGTATCCTTGTTTCCTCTGGTGCCGCTTACCTTGTACCAGGTTATTTCTTGAAGCTGGACAGTAGGTTCAGAGGTTTGACAGGACTCAGGTAACACATCTGTCTCATGAACACTGCACAGGTAACCCTGTGTAATTGGCATCAAATCCCATTAGAAGGCACATAAGGTCAGGGAGTCCAATGATATCTGACACTAAATGTGACCACTCGTTTAAGATGGTAACTGCTAGAACTTTTCATGGCCATTTTTTCTCCTTTGCAATCAGAAGCCAATGGGGAGTTAATGTTGCACCCTGAACATATCCTTGGCTTTAGCAGTCTTTCACGGAATGGTGTAGTCCTTAAAGGCAAATAATTATCCATCTTGCATACTTGCGAGCAACTCGTGACGTCCTCATAAAACATTTTCTAAAATACCTTCAATGCATCTTTTCTTTGGTACATTTTATGAATCCCATGTTACAAGTTGAAGTTCATTTGGCTGTTCTTCAAAAACAGCAAAATCTTGCTCAGCGCTGATAGAGGAGTTCTGCAAACATGTGTAAACATTTCTTGTCAGGGGCAACTGGAAACTTTTACCGTTAAACATCCCCGCTGGGTCGTGAAGGAATCAGCTTTGCTCATTTACTAGCAACCAGAGTTTTCAAAATGATTCCCAAAATAGACTGGCTCCCAGAACAGTACTCCTCGTGTTCTCGTAAGAATGGGGGAAGGGGCTCAATCTTGACCTTATCCTAATCATCTGGGGGAGCTTGAAACTATTTCCTGGTTCTGCTCCAGATCACTTTGACCAGAATCTGTGAGGGTGAGGTCAAGCGGACTCCTTAGGTGAGTCTATTGGACAACCTAGGTGAGAACCACTGAAAAAGAAGAAACTTCAAAAGGGGAAAGTAATTGTAATTTCATCACTTAAGAAGACACTATATATCCTTCTCCAGATTGGTGGTTGCCAAATTTATACACAGTAGAATTTTCTGGGGATTAAAAGCATCTGCTGGCCAGGTCACACCCTATCCCAATTAAGTGGTATTGTCTGGGCATGGGAAGAAGGTGTCAGAATAGCTTAAGATCCCGGGTGAATTTCACAATCTCTGTCTATCGAACCATTATGCTGACCATTTTAAACATATACATTATGTATGTCAATTATTTCTCAATAAAAATGGGAAAAAATGCAAAGGTGATTCCATGGCATAGCTATGTTTTGAACCACTGCTCCAGAGGTTGTCTTCTGACGAGGCAGCTGTGGTTGCTTGAAAGAACACGGACCCAGGAATCAATCAGTTCCTCTACTTGGTAGCTGAGATTTCCTAATTAGGAAAAGAGGGATAATTATGTTAACTCATAGTATTGTCTGGATTGAAAGAGAATTATGTGTTACCACATGAACATTAGTAACCTTCCCACCCCATGTTTTAGTTTCTGCTTGTGCCAAATCACCCCAGACTTAGTGGTTTGAAACAATGTTATCTGAAATTTCCAGGAGCCAGAAATCCAAAAAGAGTGCCACCCACTTAAAATCAAGGTATTGGCAGAGTTGCATTCCTTCCTGGAGGCTCTAGAGAAGGCTCTGTTTTCTTGCCTTTTCTGGCTTCTAGAGTCACCTGCACTCCTCATGTGACCCTCCCATCCTCAAAGTCAGCTATGATCCCTGACCTTTCTCACAGGGCACCCCTCTAACTCTTGCCCCTCTTTCTTCCTCATCGAAAGGCCTGGTGGTTACACTGGACCTACCCTGATAATCAGAATAGCTGAGTAGCTGATTAGAACCTTCTTGCTGTCTACTACTGTAATTCACCTTTGCTGGGTAAGGTAATCTATTCACAGATGGAAACATTTGGGGAGGCCATTCTTTTGTCTACCACATTTTCTTTTTTTGCTTTTCTTTTTTTTAAGATTTATTTATTTATACAAGAACGGGGGTACAGGTCAGAGGTGTGGGAGGGTGAGAGAATTCACCAGAGAGAGCAGGGAGCAGAGCAGGCAGACAGACCGAAGACACTGCTGAGGGGAGCTGTGGGCGAGACAGGAGAGGTCTGCCACGCCATGTGGGTATCTCCCTGGCTGGCCAGGAATTGAGCCCGTGCTACCAAGGCTGCAGACAGCTTCACAGCACTATGCTCAACCGCCTGCACCACCGGGGAGGCCCTGTCTACCACATTTTCAACACCTTTCCCTCTGATCAGGACACAATTGTAATTGGAGGTTTATGCCAATTGATCTCCTCTAGATCACACAAGAATCTTGTTGATGCTTTATTAGCATGAGACTAACTAAATGAGACATAATGCAGGCCTGTTTTATGATTTTCCCCATTGCTATACCTCTTTTCTGCTGCTCTGTTGAAAGCTTAGGTAGTCATGTTTATATCACGTGATCCTTTTGCTTAGTCACAGGTGATGGACTGACGAGGGAGGTCAGCTGATATGGGGAGCCAATGATTTGACTTGTCAGCATCCCATTAGAATTTTTCTTATGAAGTCAAGGGACACACAGATAAATGTAGGAAATAGTTGACGTACTCTGGAGCCAAAAAGGACTGTAGAATTAGAACTGGAATTGGCAATATGGTAATTCAATACCATGTGCAAGTCACAATTTCAATGGAGCAGGAGGCAGGAGAGTACTTGCAGAGAGGAAGAGAGTCTGAGAGAGGACAGTGGAACCAATTTATAAGGAGAAAGTGAGATGTGAGACTTTTCTTATAGTTTTGGCTTTATTTTGGAAAACAATGTTTTGAATAAATATTAGGAACTAGAACTTGTGACAGCTAAGAGAATTTAAAAGCTAGATTACTGGTTTCTTCAGATTTTTTATAAAGTTATCGCATAATTGTCATTTAAGCAGCTTTCAATTTTTCACCCTTGAATGTATGTTTTGTGCTCTTCGATAAGACTGTCTACAGCACAGGTGCCTTAGTGAGCATGCTGGGAGCACAGGGTGTCTTATATTTTCAAATGTCCTTTGGAAGTGTTAAACCATATTTGTCTATTGTATACCATACTATTATATACCATTAAATAAAGCATTTTTAAATAAAATAATCACCACAGCCTTCTTTTATTCATATAACAGGGAAAATGGAGAAAAGAAAATAAAAAAATAATCTTAAAATCTCATTATCATGTTCCTGATTTTCATCTTTTTAAAAAAAGATTTATTTATTTATGTATACAAGAACTGGGATGCAGGCCAGAGATACAGGGTGGGGTGAGAGGATTCACCAGAGACAGAGTGGGGAGCAGAACAGACAGAATCACTGACATACGCTGCTGAGGGGAGCAGTGAGTGAGACAGGAGAGGTGTGCTGTGCTTTGTGGGTTCACCTCCCTGGTTGGGGATCAAACTCGTGCTGCAGAGGCTGCAGATGGCTTCATAGTGCTGTATCTTATCCTCTTTGTGCCACCAGGGAGGGCCCTGATCTTCCATCTTTTACAATTAAGAATGTAGATAATTCCATAGGGAAAGCAAGCCAAACCAGTTAATATCAGTTAACCTCAAAGGACAATTAATTTTACTGAACGGCATGCCTGGAGGCTACTCCAGGGTCTGTTCTGAGGCTCTACAATGTCTTCATGGGCCTCTGCCTGGACCAAAGAAGGGCTCTGCCAGTTACTAGCTTCTCACTCCTGCTTTCCTTGCCTCGTGACCACAGGGCGCCTGCCTCAGCTTTGTGTATTTTGACTCTATAGCAACTGTCCTTGGTGGAATGAAGACAGGGTGGGCCCCGAGGACTTTCTCTCTTGAGGTTCTATCTTTTCATCTGAGATGGGGACTCCCCCATTTGGCTTCCCTTATACTCTGGCCTGAACTGGTGCCCATGTGACCTGCTAATCCCAAACTACCAAAACTGTAGGGCAACAGGATGGTTAAAACCAAACACAATTAACTTCCTGTCACTGGAATAGATGGCTCCCTCTTTCCCTAAGATGAATGGATTTCCACCAGTTGATGTTCTGGTAACAGGGAAAAGTGGGTTGACTGTTGGGTAGTCAATAGACTGCTAGCAGCAACCAGCAAAATGACTGAAAGGAGGAAGAAGAGAATAGGACTTGAGAAACCACAAACTTCTTGTTTTTGCAAGAATGGAGCTCTAGCTCATGGCAGCTCTGACTGAGGTTGCTGGAACCACATCAGAAATGCATTTTTCCTTTAATCTGAAGGAATATCCCAGGTTCGGGATTGAAAGCCTTGCCTGGGATTCACTCTCAGCATTTTATCTTCACATGTCATTAGAGAAATTCCTCTTGATCACAGAGGAAAGGGCCAGTTCACAACATAATTCCCAAACACTAAACAGATCTTGGGACCTCTTTTTCTCCTCATTCCACCTGAAGATAATTCAAAATAAACACAAAGTCTAACCCATTACTACCACAGATTCTACCATGCCTACTACCAACTCTCTAAGATGAATGTTTTGGTTGTTTTTTTTTTTTTTAATAATGATATCAACTTAAAAAAAAACCAACTTATTTTGGGGGATTGCATTTTTTCAATGCCTTAAAGAATGTGCTTAATCTCTATTTTGGGTTAAATAGCATTTCTCGTGGGAGTTCTCCAGTCTTGTATGTCACCACTGAAACCCAAGATAGCATGAAAGATATAGTTTGTCTTCTTAATGCTGTGAGCATTATTTCAGATCAAGGCATAGCACTCCAAGGGCACAGCTCTACTCAACTTCAGTAACTAAGTCAACAAATGTAAAGCCCATAATGTAATGCTTGAAATACAGTGAGCTCTGTGTGTATTGTTGTTTGTAGATCTCAAACCCTTTGGAAATAAAAAGAGACCACACAATTTACACAAAGATAGCATGTTAATGACAGAGTTGGGGAGAGAAAGCAGGGCACAGAAAGGATGAGAGAACTAAAACTTGTTGATGATCTGCCCTATTGTGGGTATAGAAAAGACAATATCCCTGCAAGAGTTATTATATCTAATCCTTACCAACAACCCCACGGGGTAAATACAATTATAGTCACTTGACTAATGAGGAAACTGAAGCTTAGAAATTTGGAGTGGCTTATGCAAGATATCTTGTGCAAGCTAGTGAGAAGCAAAGCTAACTCGGGTGTGTCTCAACTGAGTCAAGCTTTCTTGGGTGACAGATTCATAGGACAAACTACTTGGCATGCAGATAAAAGTCTTAGCTGTTCATTAAACTCCATTTAAATTGGATTGCTGTTGATGTCCCTAGACATAAGTGTGGCGTAGTTGTTGCATAACTGGTGTTGATTATTTGTAGCCTTAGCGTTGCAAAGAAAAAAAAAGTGTCTTAAAGTATTTACAGACTAGTGGAGAAAAAACACAAACTAATGATAACTATTCACCATGACAACTGCTATGATGGTCACATATTCAGAATAAAGGTAGATCATGAAGAAAGAATCCCTACCTGGAAGAGTATTGGAGAAAAGGACAGTAGTTTTGGTATAAGACACTGGTTTGAGGACAAGTAGGAGAGTGCCAGGTCTTTAGCCTTGCAGGGCATTCCAGCCTAGATGACAGTCTGTGAAAAGGCAGGTAGGTTTAAGAGAGCTCTGGAAATTACAAGTGGTTCATGAGATTCAAAGATAAGAGTGGCAGGAAGTGAGTCCCTAAGGGAAAGCAAGTCCCAGACATATCTTAAAAGTTTTTAGCTTTCAGGTTTTTCAGGAAAAAAGTAATTATGTAGCAACATAATGTCACCAAATAAGAGATGATAGGAAAAGACAGCAACCCCCAGTAGTGAGTATTGTAATTATTCATGCCTTCAAAAGATTGGAGGTGACCTAAATGTCCATCTCCAGAGGACTAGTTAAATAATTTTGTCTATACATAAATCAAAAATGATGCGGCCATTTTAAAAAAATGAAGCAGATTTATAATGCCTGTGATTGGATTCTCTAGAAAGCAAAGGCTATCATTTATCTGGGAGGGGATGGGGTGGATCAGCCCAGGATCGGTGACTCCAGAGAAGGTGCTAGCAGTGCCAAAGACTATCACGAAGGCAACATCAACAGACTGTAAAGAGACAGCATTTTGTTCAGCAAAAGGTTTGCAAGTAGGAAACATCTCTTTTATGCACAGAGAAGAGAAAGGAGGAAGAAGTTACCTGCTTGGCTCTTTCTGCCTCTTGTTTGCAACTGGTAGAAGTTTACTCTTTCCAGTCATGTCAGGATGACGTTTTGTTCTGGTCCCAAAGTACAACCTGATATAGGAGCAGCACCAACAGAGAAAAAAGAAAGCTGTGAGGGAATATAAAAAGACACATAAAACTTTTTATCCTGATACACACTGCCTTATCAAGTCTGAAAACAGACACGTTACTTTATTATAAATTATATATCAATAAGATATGCTTTTATAAAACATATTCTTTATATTTCTAGACCTGGTGGCTACTCTATTTTGGTATAAAACAAGCTCCACATTGTGCTTTGAGATGAAAAAACAAGGCACAGAACAGAAAGTTCAATATGCTGATTTGGGGTCAACGTATTTATTCTACATGGAATTCCTCTGGAAGGAGACACAAGAAATCACCAGCATTATTTGGCGTTGGGAGGGGGAATTGGGTGGTTGAAAAACTGTGTAAAAAGGAGACTCACTTTTCCCCATATACCTCTGCCTGCTTTTCTAATTTTGCACCATGTCAAATCACCATTTATGAATGTAAACACTTGCAGTATACTGAGAAAATCATCCCACGTGTCAGGAAGATCACCTGGCCAGAGTAAAGATGATTTTTTATTTTATTTTTTTAAAGAATTATTCCTTTTATTGTAAGTTTTTTTTTTTATTTCATGTAGAAGAACTGAGGTATAGGCCAGAGGTGTGGAGGGTGAGCGGATTCACCAGAGACAGAGTGGGGAGCAGAACAGGCAGATCTACTGAAATATACTGCTGAGGGGAGCAGCAGGAGAGACAGAAGTCTGCTGTGCCATGTGGGTCAGCTCCCTGGCCTGGGATCAAACTCAGGCTGCAGTGGTGATAGTGCTGAGACTTAACCCTTAGGCCATCAGGGAGGCCCAAGAATAAAGAGGATTTTGCAGGAGACCATTTAACTTAACAAATATGCATGACCAGGATACTGGATGGATATCTAAGTGAATGTGACAGACCCACTCCTGTGGGTTCTGCCACCCCAACCAAGTGGCCCTGCATATATAATCCTTAGTGCTGAAGAAGTTAAACTCACATAATCTAGATGGCCTGTTTCCCTTTTTTTTTTTTTCTGTAAAGGTCAGATAGCAGATATTTCAGCTTGCATGCCACACTGTCTTTGACACATCTTCTAAACTTGGCTGCTATCAGACAAAAGCAACCGTAGACAATAATGAGCTTGGCCATGGTCTAAGAGAACTAGTGAAGTTCTGGAAGTCTACTGGAAGTTCTGATAGAACTTGGAATGTCATATCATCTTTAGGTGTTGTGAAATTTTATTCTTCTTTCAATTTTCACCCTACCTTTTAAAAACATAAGATCCCTGCTTAATTGCAGTCTGCAAAAAAACCAGGCAGTAGGGCCTATTTCCTCGGGGCTGTGGTACATTAACCCCTAAGTTAGAATATTTCTGCCTTGTTAAAAAGTTAACTCGGTTCATGTAAAATTTCAACGCTCCTCCAAACAGTAGTGGGCACTACACACTAGCCCCATTGGCCTACTATTGATTGCTTGCTTTGCATTCAGTTTGGTTTAACTTTGCATGAGCTCTCTCCACCTCTGCCACACTCTGTATGAAAGTCACGAAGGAAGATTGAATTCTGCTGTGACTACTGGTTAATTCATTTCTGGACATTAGAATCACTTCTGTGAGCCCCACACCATATGCCATATGGAATATTGTTATGTGCTCCCTAGAGCTTCTGTTAGTGCCATCTGTCTGTGACTTCCTGTGTGGTTTCTCTGGCATTTTGTATCCAAAATGCTTCTATAAAGTAAGTTTAAAAAAAAACCCAATTCTAAGCAACATCTGCCTTTGAGTTAGACATATATTTTCAAGGCTTAAACATTTGAGGCACATTCATAATGACTGCTATTGTGAAGCCATAGTTGAAATTATAAGAGTGTATTGTAGTCCATCCCCAGGGTAACACTCAGATACAAGCCCTGCCAACTCTGCCAAACCCCCACAAGTCATTCTCTAAAATCTCCCATTTTGAGGGCTCTGACATGAGAGTCAGAGTCTTGGCTTTCTGCCGAAACCAGGGTTCTGTTCTCAAACACACTGAGAATTTTCTAGCCTTATGTCAGGGACTGTATTTGTTCATTATTTTTTTGTGTCCCTGGTATCTAATATAATACTTAGCACTTAGTAGTAGTTCAAGGAGGGTGTGCTGACTTAAGCTGAAATGTTCAATGACACCCTGTGAATTTCTAGGTCATCTCTCTAAGCCTATCGATGACAGGTTATTCACACAATGTGACACTGGGGATTGGCAGCCAAGAACATGAATTGTTTGTTATGTTGTTTTGCTGGTTTATTAAGAATGTCTATAAAATACATATTACTATTGTAAGGTGATGATATACTCAGAAAAAAAGCATTTGTAGTTCTTCAGATGAATGAAGTCTAGATTGCTTAGGTGAGGATGACGATCTTGGTTTAAAATCAGCTATTTACAAGCTCTAAAATAGTTTTAAAAAGGGATCACTTGACATCTTGGATCTATTTTGGTCTTGAGATGTAAACAATAATCTCTGTCCTGCTACCTCAAAGAACTGATCTAAAAGTTAACCAAGAATATAGTTTTGTAAATGAATGGCAGATCAATACAATTTGATGAAGAAAAACAAAATAATTGACCAAGATAACATATATGGAAAAAACTTAGAGGTGAAAATTCAAAGCATGAGTTAGGATTTATTCATTCATAAGCATATATGTGGCCTACCAATAGCAAAGCATTGGATTCATTGGATTATAGATGAGATAACAAGGCAATCATTTTAAAAGGCAAACAGAGGGGTCACCCACAGGAAGAGCATGACAGTAGTCCTTCCCTTAAATAGGCTTTGGATCCAGTGGAGGGCATGTCAAATATGCAGATTTTTTGCCTCCTTCCCTCTAGAGAGATTGTGGTATGACAGATCTGGGTTCAATCTCCCCAGGAGATTCTGGTCTATGGCCCAGACTTGGAGAACACCAGCATATGGGTCAGCAGGGAAGAGAGAGAAGAAAATCAATAATTAATTTCAGCTCCCCCAAATAGGTCTGCAATAGCTTGTTAAAGTGTAGGTCACAGGCTGTGAGGAAGTGGGACACTAGTGAACGAAGAAATCAAGAAGGGTACAACAAGTGTACAATCAGCACATTCTCCCTGGATTTTATACCCTTTCCCCTGGTGACTCTGATCTCAGGCTTCTTAAAGAGTTGTCAGGATTCTATTGGGTTCAAAGGAAAAATAAAGCAATTATTTGTATAAGGCAGAAGCTGTTTTGTTTTTTTTTTAACTTGAAAATAAAGTCCAGAATTATGTGGTCCAGGGCTAGAATGGTGGGCCCAGAAAGTTTCTAGGGATCTTCCAGGTGGCTTTCAGTTCTCTGTTATTCCTAGAGTGTAGTCCCCTCAACCTCATGGTCCAAGATTGCAGCTATAGTGCCACCACTCACAGCACCTCCCCAGGCAATAAAGTAGAGAGGAGATAGGGAGAACCAGCTGTCTTTTAAAGAGGTTTCCTAAAAGTTGTCATGCCTTTCTGCTGTATCTCAACTGGCCTCAGTCATATTGGCTCACCTAGCTGCAATAACAAAAATGTATTAGTTATTTCCCAGCTAACCATATGCCATACTAAAAATTAGGATTTCTATTCATAAGAAATAAGAGGAGAGTGGATCATGAAGTAGGAAACCAGTAGTCTCAGGCCCAGATGTGATTCTTGGGGTTGAACTTTTTTGTTGGTCCTGGGCACGAGGCCACAATGACTGCAGCCCCTGCAGAACAGGCCTGAAGGAGGAAACCCAGCGCTGCTGATGGACTGCTAGGAGAAGGCTACATTCAGGGGTTTTCTCAGTTTGTGGCACGTAAGTGCTCTCTGACTTCTGTCTACTAAAGCTCATTTCCCTCACAGTACCTGCATCTATAACAGACAGACGACTCTTCCAACAGAATTCACATCCAGATTTGAGACTAAATAGCTCTGTGACTCTTACTTGGTAGCTGGGCTGCGAGAGAGTTTTGTTTTTATTTCTCTACAATTGAGATAATATCTGATCTAGTTTTACCTCCCCTTTTGGGTTACTTTGCTCATCAAATATGTCTGTGAAATGCTTTTAAGCTTCAGAGTCAGTTTCATATGTGTATTAATATTTTTTCTCATTCTTTTAAAGATTTATTTTTATTTATTTATGCATATGAGAACTGGGGTGCAGGCCAGATGTGCAGTGTGTGTGAGAGGATTCACCAGAGACAAAGTGGGTTGCAGAACAGGTAGATCTACTGAAATAAACTGCTGAGGGGAGCAGCGGGTAAGACAGGAGAGGTCTGCTGTGCCATGTGGGTCAGCGCCCTGGCTGGGGATCGAACTCAGGTCATAGTGTCTGGTGATAGCTTGATAGCGTTGAGACTTAACCACTGTGCCACCAGGGAGGCTCTCACATATGCATCATTTTGGGAAAAAAAAATGCACATCAAATATATGTTAAGGATTAATGAAAGTAGTTTGAATTATTTAAATTGGGTTCTTACACTATAACTTTCATTTAAAATTTCCTATTAGTAGGTGATATGAATAATTAAAATTTCTCATTTAATCTGAAGGAAATTCCTCCTACTGATATTTTCAATAAAACATTTGAACTATAAATATCTCGGCTTCTACCTCCAGTTTTTCCTGTTTAATATAGTTCATTAGCATGAGACGTCATAGCTCTTAAAACCAATCATTTTTCTTGAGAATCTTGTCATTTCTCATCAAATTTGGGTATTTTTTCTTTTATCAATGACACCTTTTCTTTTAGGTGCTGCTGAGGAAGAGGGGAGCACATATCACTGCAGTGGAACCTGACCCCATGTGGTCCCCAAGCTGCCATGCTGCGATTTCTGGGTGAAAATTAAATATCATGAATCAGTTATTAATGACTGTAAAAAAAAAATCTGTGACCGCAGACCCCTGCAATATGGCATTCTGTCTGGAGATTTTGCCCACCAATCATGGCCACTTGGGAGCAAGACAAGGGTTAGAGCACAAGCCCAGGTGGGTGCAGAGTTAAGTGCTTAGCAAACAGCAGTTGCTACAGGGACTTACCAATGAGTGGTGAGCCACACCTGCACTGAGGGTGTGAAACAGCCGCCTTTTCATCATACTCACAGATGCTGCAGACCAGGAGTTCAGAAGGGCCCAACAGGGACAGCTCTTCTCTGCTCCTCAATGTCTGGGTCTCGGCTGGAGGAACTGAAATGTCTGGGATAAATCCAATGACTGGAAGTGGAACAGCAGCAGTTGGAGAATTCTCTTCCAAGATGGCTTCTCCACTCGTGCATCCGGTGCCCAGGCTGGGCAGGCCGAAGAGAGGCCCTGGTGGTACTGCTGACGGGTGCTTGTTGCATAGCCTCCCCGTGTGGACTGGGCATGTGTGCATTTGGGATTTAAAGATTTTTAGGTCCTGGTCCTGAATTCTACTTTGTTCATAGTGATCTTGGGTTGGTCTTTTCCAACTGTCTCTCTGCCTCTTCCTGCAACATAGCTTCTGTCTCCTGGGGCACTTTCTGCCCTCGCTCTGACCATGACATCACTGACAAGAGCCCCTCCAGCTCCAGATGGCTCTCTGACTTCCTGACCTATGCATTTTCTTGGCTCATGGTCTGATTCCTCTCCGCCTTTCGTCAGGCTTTGTGTTTTCTTCTGAGATCACAATAATGGGAGACAGGAAATACAGAGAAGCTGTAGAGATTTATGTTCAAATGCAAGAATAGTGGTGAGGGTACAGACTGTCCAGTCTAAGGTTAGTACAAAATTAAGTTGTGTACTTGTTTCCTAAAACAAAAATATGTCGAAGACACGAGCATTTTAAAAGTAGAATGTTACCATTTTGCATATGCACACTCATATACATTTATATATCATGGTTCTTTTAAGAAGAATGTCATTGCTCTATAATTTTTCATTTTATGCCAGGCCTCCCTGCTTATCCCACTAGTTAGTTATCTACTAAAAGGCTTTCCAGTGGAGCTTCATTTAAAGATCCAATAGCTTCAAAGAGTTATATATTTTTCTCTCTGTCTGCTGAACTGTGTGTGGATAGAGGATAATGACATTGTGGTCAAGGTCATGGGCTTTTGACCCTGCTACCTCCTGGTCACTCTAGACACTCCTAGCTGTCTGGCTCTTTTGAGA